GGGTGATTGGAATTTCGAACTGAACCTTTTATTTCGTCTACCGAGGTCGACTGTTCTAGTTCCACGTGCCATGCCTCTTCCGGATGTCTCAGTTATTTTCCTTTAAGCCGACTATCCAAGTTCAAGGATAAAGACGTTGGTTAGTTCCAGAGACTAGACCCAAAGGAGCTGTGAGTTCAATACCAGTCCGCAGTAGTTGTGAACAAAAACTTGCGGAGTTGAGTTAAAGGGATATCTGGAAGATGTATGATACCTGGAACTAGACCAATCTACCCCGATGGACGAAATAAGGTTTTCAGTTCGAAATTCAATCAAGAAGGTCGGAGCGTACAACGGCCAAAACTTTGTGAATATGGCAAAGATGAGGATAACAGTCTGAATAATGTAAATAATGCAAGCAAATCCAGAAAGATTCACTTGTGCAAGTTTTTAAGTACAACTTCAGAATTTACTGAACCCTCATCCGTTGTTCTCGACGGGCGGATCCATCCCTATAAATGTATAAAAAAATTTCCAAGAAAAATGAAACGTAGAATGGTAACTCTTCTAGAGGTTGGAAATCTCTTTTGAAACGATTTCATGAAACTCACCGAGAGGATCAAAATATGCCCAGCTTTGACGGTGTGTTGCAGGTTAATCTATCTTTCAGGGATATTGAACTTAGAACAATAACATACCTTGCACTTGGCATGAAAAGTATCCCTACTGTTATGTCAGTGAAAGGTTTTGCGATTAAATCAAAAGTCAGAGTAAAAAGTCAGAGTAAAATTCGGAGTAAAAGTCAGAGTAAAATTACCCCGAACCATAAAGGGTGTGCGCTCCCCTATGTGGTACTTATTTCTGTTCACGCCAGGCTAGTGTTTGGTCCTGTCGAAGAATGATCTGTCAAACAAAATTCGAACCGTTGTTAGCAGGAAACTCTCCTAAAGTTTCTTCTTCGCCAAAGGAGAATTTTTTTTCCCAAATTTTGTTTGCAGATACAATGTAAAAAATATTGGTGTGTAGATCCTGACATAATGAACAGAAACAACATCCAGATTCACAAACTTTAAAACATTTTTTAAAAAGTGTGTGTAATATACCTACAAAATGTGATAGACCAAGAGTAAAAGGCCAAGACTGTATGTATCTTTTTAACCCAAACATATCCATTTCAGAAACTGAACACCAGTAAATCATTCATATATCACTAGTTATCGAGTTTGAATGACTGAGACTGAAGGCCGGTATTTAGAAGATCTAGGCAAGGTATATATATATATTCGCAAAAGACCCTTTTTATTTGCAAAAATATATATTGTGTTCAAGATGACCGATTTTTGATAGCATCAAAATGAATTTTAGATGATGTAACCAGTTCTCTTTCGTTTACACAGATGAACTATTAGGTAAGCAAGAGAGGGGACAATGTTATGTTACAAGGATTCAAATTACAAAATATTGACTCTATTATCGTTAAATGTAGGTCCAGCATTTATATATATATATTTTTATATATATTGTAATTTCATACCGGAGTTTAAACACATTTTGAAATTTCATTATTTCTTATTATTTTATTTACATTATGAAATTTCTTTGATTTTTGGCGCTCATTCTTTTATTGTTTCTAATTTCTCTAGGGGAACAATGATATTCGTTTACTACGGATTGACTTTGAACATCGGTGTCCTGGCGGGTAACGTTTATTTGAATTTAGTTCTGAATTCCATCGTCGAAATCTCAGTGATTCTTTTCGCTGTCATCGTTGTGGATCGCTTTGGAAGAAAGAAATTGACACTTTCCTTCATGGCTATCAGTGGTATAACTGGTATTCTTACCCTCTTCCCATATCTGTACGCATCAAAGGGTAAGAACATGTCATTTTTATGCGACCAATCAGCAGGGCAATTTGGTGTTATCAGGATAAACTCATTCGATTCTGTCAAATGTTTAAAATTCTGAAATAGGATATTATCAACAAAACAAATTTATTTACTATTATTTTTGTTTAAAAAGTAATTTATTTATTAAATATAAACAGTGGAACAAATTTAATAAATTCATAAAACTTGCTATAAGAATAAAGTTCCGGAATTTGGAAGGAATGCGCAAAAGGAATGTCGGATGGACATCTACCGCTACCCATTTTTAGCAGTAAATTTTGTGCTCAGACAAGGATATCATTCGAATAATACAGTAGAAACTGCATGCCACGGAAGTCATATATTTCATGATAAAATACCCAGAATTCTTCGTATATAATCTTAATTTATCTCATTCAATGCCTAGTGTAACAGATGTTTGCGTAGGAAGTAGGAATTGAAATTCATTGGCCGATTAGCCAATGCTGCTATTGGTTGAAATTTATAAAATATTTCTCTTAAAACAATTTTTCAAGAAAAATAAGTTTCTCAAATCGAGTAGTTGTTATTAGTCACTTCTGTATTGATAGTGGTTTCCTTTCTAATCTATTTAAATTAACGTGGAATATCAACATAATGATTATGTCATTATTTTCTCTACATAAGATAACAATTTTAGTTGCTGCTTTTGTTGAAAGTTTTCAAGTGATTGGTTTCTCTCCATTTTCTAAAATCTATTGGATGTTTTGGTACACATCATTAATGTTTCTAGCCGAGGTTCATTAGGGGTTTCAGGTCTTTCAACATCATACCCACTCTCCACGATGACCCAGCCGATACTGATCGGGTATCGACTTGTGTACCTTCCGTCAGCTACAATTTTTTTCTATCTTCCAAACTATACACCATGCGACTCTTCTTGGCAATTTATTGTCCAATCCCGGATGACTTCCGGTTCACCTGTAATGAGCGCTCTTCCATAAAAAAGGAAGCAAACGCAACCACAATTTCCAACTGATCAGGAATATGACGGCGTGCTTAGCTTCAAGCGGTAAGTACCAATCTGATTCCCCTCACTGGGACAGAGAGAGAGAGAGAGAGACTCGCTCAAGCCTCACATTCTATTACACTTATCCCCATTTTCATTCATGTTAATCATATGCCGAAGGAAAAGAAAACAAAAAATATTTCCTTTTCCTCCTTCCCACTTTTTTGTCCTTGACCCGCCACCTATATGAGTTACACGCACGCACACAAATCAATGCCGCCACACCGACACACACACACCAACTCACATCTAAAAAAATATACCATAACCCTGGTAGGGGAGGGGCAAACAGGTGCTAGATCTTAGCTAGTGATCACCTGTAGGTAACAATGTTTCGGGGTACCCTAATTCCGTCCTCTAGTAGATAGCCCATTGTCGGATGTAGTTTTGGGTCATACTCAAGGCACCCCACCCCAAAAAAATATATGTATATATCAACCGCAACTTCCTTTCATTTCCTCGATTTTCTCGCTTTAAAATTAATTTTTCCCCACGTCATTATCTTTTCTAAACCTTGCAATATCCACCGAAATCCAGGGATTGTTTATGTAGTCACTGTCAGGTCATCCATATATGCACGAATTGAGGGTTGTCGTACTCCGTTTATCATCACTGGACCTCGACGTTCAACCTCTGTTGATTTTACTAACATGTTCATTGTTAAGGTAAATAATATCACTGAGATTGTACATCCAGTTATAATTGCCCTTTCTAGCCGATGCCAATCGGAAGATATCAAATCAGTGGTTGTTTTATATTAAAATCTTTATAATAATCTTATATGAGATTCCTTACACAAATAGGAACACGGTGTCTTCTGAGAGCTTCCTCAACGAATTTGTATGGAACGGATCCATATGCATTAGCTAGGTTCAGTCACAGTACGTCGAGATTACCTTTCTCTTCTTTTGCTTCTCTTATGAGCTGCGCTATCACGCCAATATGCTCCAGAAAATATAGGATTCCGGCAATCCCTCCCTTCTGTACTGAAGTGTCTAAATAATTGTTGGCACCTAGATAATGCCGAAGTCGTTGGGACATAATGCTGAAGATTGTGTTCTCAGTGTTCAGCAAAGAAATCATTCTAAACTGTTAAATTCCTTTTGAATTTTCTTCTTTAGGAATTCATACTGCATTAGCAAACCTCCACTGTTTTGCAACTTTATCTCTTCTACAAATTATTTTTAATATCTTCCAGAGATGTAATTGAATACTCGGACATCTCTTATAGGCATTATAGGGAACCCCGCTGGATTCTGGGGCTGAAGCTGATCTAGCTGCCGATATGACCTTCTTTAATTCTTTCAAGGTCGGTACCCTCAAGGCGAAACCTGTTTCTGGTGGTTTAGGGTGCACTATTGCATTGTTTTCGCCTAGATTATTTCCTCTCTCTATTTCTTCAGCCGTACACTCAAGATTACCATTTCTCTTATCTCCGATTAACCTCTTCGTAAAACCAAAAAGGTTTGAAATAAGTGCATATATTTTCCTATGCCTTTCTTTTTCACGTTTTCTCTGTCTTTCTGCTCTACGTAGAGTTCTAAGTTTTTTCCTTAATGTTTCTCGGAGTTCCGAAAGAGGTACTTTTTTCCATTTCATTTAATTGTTCGTATTGTCTCTTTAGAGATTTTAGCTCGTGTCTCAACTGGTGAATTTTCTTTTCCCGACAGTTATTTCTGTGTTCTTCCGTGTGTTTCATTTGAACATAAACGAATCTCTCTGATGTGTAACAAATGATAATAGTCGTCATTGTATATAATCTACTATTTGCGTCCCCTTTCGATAGTGTTCTTAAAATATCACTCACATCCTGATTGAACTGTTGCCATTCTTCCTACTGGCGTGCAGTGGGCCATTTAATCCGCATTCTGGTCACTCTCTCTGGATTCGAGAGACCGACACCTGGAGGGTCTCGGCTCTTTGGTGTGTATCCTGGCTATGATCCTCCTCCGTCTCACCAGGGAAATTACCTGTGCGTTGTACCTCTCTCTCTCTCTCTCTCTCTCTATATATATATATATATATATATATATATATATATATATCTCTCTCTCTTTCTCTCTCTCTCTCTTTCTCTCTCTCTCCAAACATTTCATCCTGGTTGGTGGAATTTAAGACCACGCGGGTTCTTGCATTCCTTTCTTCAGGTACATTTCACTTTTGTAATCCGGGTGTAATCCTTGGTCGAAAGCCTTTCGTCCGTCCTGATAGGGATCTCATTCTCCCTCCCTTATTTGGTACAGTTCATTGCTTGTGTTTCTGTACAACCTAGCTCAAAGCTATTTTTAACTATTGATCTTGGAAAGCGGTTGTATACGGCTGTCTAATTATTTCTGAACAGGTTTGGCGCCATGTATGACTTCCATATGAAACTTTTGATCTGAGAAGGTGATTTAGGAACATGACGAAGATATTAGGTGACGTTTTGGTTTTGCAGCAGTTTGGGGGAGGGGGTAATTACTTCTAACGCATTCTATTTTAGATTCAATTTCCTTATCTCTTATGCTCAATTTGTTATAATTGACCCACACCCCGAGGTATTTGGGGTGTTTATTATTTACTAGTTCCACATCCTGATATGTTATAATGTATTCAGGATATGTGCCAATACGAGTGAAAATCAAGCTTCAACTGTAATTTATTTGAGACTAGCTTGCTAAAGATTGATGCTCAACGAGACAGTTTTTAACTTTTATTTGCAATTGATTATTTCACTAGCTTACCATTTCATATGAAGTTTCCTTGTTTCAATTTAAATAAAGCAGAAAAGGTAAAGATGCCTTCCAAAAGCTAAACAATGTATTAAGAAATTGAAACATTTCATTAAAAGCAAATAAACTGCAATTTAATATCACTCTTCATTAAAGATTAAATGTAGAATTGGCGCTACAGAAATTTCCTTCTTATCGTAGCCCTTCGCTACTCCGTTCACGTGATCATGGCGGACGCAATATTTCTTTAATCCTTGGGATTTTCTTTGTTGCGTCACCCCAATTTCTTCTATTTAATATAACAAGACTATTTAGATTCATAATCAAACTCATTTCTCTTTAGTTGCTTGATTATTATTAAAATAATCTAAATACTCTTTGTGAACAATCTATAATACTTTTTATACTCCATAGCAACTCTCAATTTATTCCTTTTAGATATTAAGTACGTAGCAAGCCCTGGAGATGTTATTACACATCTTTGTCATATAAACCTCTTGCCGCTCAAGAGGGAGTAGGGGGGAACGCGGGCTCTCTCTTGAAGATTAGCAGAGGATAAGAGGGTTTTTCCTGTCGGAGCAGATGTTGCGGTTGTAGTATCTGTTCTATGCCGGAAGCTTTCTCTCCTCTCTTGTGTTCCTTCCTGTTGCGTAACATCTGTTACGTAGCGGTGGTATGACTGGCTATGACTAGCTCATGATAAGCTAAGACCAGATTAGACAAGCTTAGACCAGCGGCCACCAACCTTGTGTCACAACTTGACTCAGTAGTGGGTCAGCGTAAATCTCGGGAGGACTAGGAACGCAGGCCTCTGGTCCTTGTGACCAGGGCGCTTGGACGGGTTCTATATTTACAGCCCACTTTTTTGTCTGCCAACCGGACGCTAGTTGGAACCTTTCTTATATACTCTTACTTCAGGCATTCCTGGCCTTCATTACTTCCGGCTACACAGACCCTTGTATTCTGACGTTCTTACTTTACTTCCACCTTTCTCGACCTGCGCATTTAATAGCCATCATCGACTTTTTACTTACGGCTTTCGTTCCTGCACTAAGCAACACTTGCAATGGTCAAAGACTCCTATTACTACTAGAATTTCTAGACCTGCTCATACAATGGCTGCAACAGCCCCGTTACTGCAGACTTATCTAGATTTGAACTGCTCTTTACTTCCAGCTACACATGGCTAGAGCACTTCTGGCGTTCTTATTTCAACCTAAGTCACCTGATTGATCGGCATTAATGGACCTGTTTACAACAGCCCTGAACTTCCGGCTACGCAATGGCTCCTACTTTTCACCTGGTGTCATAGAAAGTTGTTACATGTATATCGTAAGGCTTCAAACAACCTATTCCGAAAAGTTGGATTAAATACTACGGAAGGTTCAGAAACTACCCGGACATTAACGCAACATTGGTTTTTATTTCCTCACCGCTTCATCATGACTTTCTTCCCCTTTGGATATACTGTCTAGACATCAAACAACTTCTTTCGTACACTTAAATACTAAGAAAAGTTTATTGTTGGACTTGACCAGCAACTTTCATCGGACATTTAAACTGAACTTTTGAACTGTGGTTTTTCATGCCAACTTAACTTATTCTAGTTTTAACATTTAGTCCCAGCTATATTATCTTTGATCTTTTATCCGGTCAGTATTCCTCTATTTACTTAATCATTCCTCCATTACTTGATTTATTGTTGGTTCGTGTTTCTTTTCGATCCATTTAACTAAAACACTATTTTTGTATATTATGGAAATTTTGTTGTCCTCTTGTTGACCTGTCAAGTTCATGTCTTTTATTTTTAAATATTCGTGGGCTTCATATGACTCATCCTTATTTGGGCGCACAGATGATATATATATATACTATATTTTATATCTCGCCTCCTCTGGAGGTCTTCTACATTCTACAGAAGCATTCTGTGAATATGCAAGCAATTTTTTAAGGAAAATGTAAATAAAAAGAAAACTTGTACTAAGAATTAGAAAGGGACTTTTGCAATATCTCTTAGGCACATAAGAAAAAATGCTTGATGAATTTGACTCAAAGAGCATATTGAGTGCAAGTCGTAAACAGTGATTAACCAAACTAACAAGCTTGTGTAAATCGATTGAAGAACAATGAATGAGAGATATAGTTAACGAATAAATATCACTTAGGCTTAGATATACGAAAAATAGGAGGTTTTACAGAGCTGTGATCACCAACATTCTGGACAGATACGGTACATAAGGGAAAAAGTCGTAAATATTAATACTGTTGTCAAACAGGTGTTGTTTGCAATCCATCAAATTTCAGCAGATGATTAAACTCTTCAATATCACATTAAGATTTTAACCTTCTACCTTTCAGATCAGTACTGGACGATAACGGCGCTGACCACATTTAGTAGAATGTGTGTATCAGGAGCTTCTTCAATTATCTATCTTTATACCTGCGAACTTTATCCTACATGCATTCGAAATTCATCAGTGGGATTTTTCGGCGCCTTTGCGAGGGTTGGAGGCGTTCTCTCACCATACATCATGGACATTGTATGTATGACGTATATTAAATTATATTACGAGCCACGTAATTAATGAATAGAGCACGGAGAGAATTATACTGTAAATGTTCAAGATACGGGACCCAAGATTAAGTTATTTAATGAGCGTGTGTTGATGGATGTGAATGGATAACAGAACAAGAAAACAGATGGTAAAGAGTCAAATTGTTAGGTTGTAGAAAATCATGGCCCCTATCTCCTGAAAGATGTAAAGATAGAAGCTGATATAAATCAGTATTATTATCACCCATATATATATATATATATGTGTGTGTGTGTGTGTGTGTGTGTGTGTGTGTGTGTGTGTGGTAATACTAAATTAAATAATGCAATAAAATAATTCACTGATATTACTTAAATCCATCCGACGAGCTTACTAGTATTTTCATCCAATCCTCAGCAGATTTGTGTTAAATGGCTTTAATTGCTAATCGTATCTCTATAAAATATTTTTTTTATAATGACGTAAAGTGTTTTAAAATAATAATTTAAAATTAATGTATTTCATTTAATTTTGAAAGTGTTCATTTATAATTATTAAATTATGCTTTAGATAAAAGTTAAATGTCAATGGCAGACAAAAATAAAATTGCAGGAATCTCTAGTCAAGTTAGTAAAGGAATACAAGAAGCTTGTAAGAAGATACAATGCATTGTTGTTAGCAAGAGCAACTACCCAAGAGGAGAAGTGCAAAGCAGAGATGTCAAAATAAAGCAAGTGCAAAAATATAACTGGCAATGGAAAAAGTGGCACAGAAATCAGAAAACTGACTGAAATAACGAAAGTTGCCTTCCAGAAACTAAACAAAATATTAAGAAGCAGGAAATTTACGTTTGAGACAAAGAATGTTAAACTACTATGAAATATCAGTACTCCTATATGAATGTCGAACAATTCCCGTACAAATGTTAAGCTAACATGAGGCAACAAAAATGTTGTTCTACAGAAGAAAGTTGAGAATGACGTCGAGAGAGCATGTTTACAAGGTTTTAAGAAAAATAGAAACAAGAACAACACTTTTAGAAAGAAACAGAAAGAGACACTTGAAATTTCCGGGGCACAGAAAGGCGAAGTGTGCTTATCGTACACATCCCGAAGGGACACGGTACATAAAAGAAGTTATATAATTAAAGTATACAAAGAAATTAGAATTCTTCTTTTTTTTTACTTTTATTTTTATACATTTAAAGTTCTTTTTTATATATTTTCTAATTTAAAATAGTATGGGTTTTTTAAACCTAATTTTATATGGTAAGTTATTTATTTATATGTTTGTATTTTCCGGCATCCTCTTTCTTCGTAATTTACATTGATTTTGAAACACTTAATTTATTTTTTTGCTTCTTTTTTGTTTTACATAGTTTAGAGTTTTAACGATATATATATATATATATATATATATATATATATATATATATATATATATATATATATATATATATATATATATATCTTGACACGTTAAGAGGTTTAGCTTGGGGTATTTAAACCCGGATTTTGATTTATTTATTTATTATTTTTTTACAACTTCCCCTTACTACTTCCGGTTTCGAACTAACGTGCTTTTAGTTGTCGAGCTCAATGTCGTTTACTGAACAAACGACATGAAGAGACCGTAATGGTGGAAACTGCGGTAGTGTTCTGGTTAGCATTCATTTTTATTTTTTAAACATTAAACAGCTCTGCATCTAGCATGAAAACAGACTGTCGCCTCTAAGTGTTGACTTATATATATATATATATATATATATATATATATATATATATATATATATATATATATATATATATATATACAGGTGCGATGTATAAATTGTCGTCTAAATTACTCAAAAAAAATAAAAATGATACTGACATTTTAACAAATATATTTACCAAAATTACACAAAAACATCTTGAAATACTAAAGAGTAAATGTTTTTCAATAAAATCGCCATACAAACGTCCTCAGAATCTTCTGAAACTCTTCTGGACGGTTTCCTTGTTTAAGTTGGTGAATGCTGTCATGATCATTGCCTTCAGTTCATTTCTTGTCTTAGAAGGAGTTTTGTTGGTCTCTCGCTCAACTACGCCACATACATAATAATCTAGTGGGGCTGCAGTCTGTTTGGTGGCCAGATGTAAAGGGTTATGTGGTCTCAGAAATTGCCTGACAGCTATGACTGGGTTCTCCTGCTTGTGCGATATGGTGCCGATTCCTTTTGCCAGACATAGGGCCTTCCATCAGCCAGCCTCTTGACTCAGTGTAACACTACCTCCTGTAGACCTCCGTGTTTCGTCTGAGGCCCCGTGAGAAGATAAATGGAGTCATAACGCCGCCATCACGTATCTTCTGCACTGTCCTCAGATTGAAACGCAAACACTCTGAAATATTCGTATTGGAGTTTCCGGCACGAATGCCAAGCAGTACAGCATGTCATTTCCAAAGGGAAAACCATATATGCATTTTTATATGTCAAGAAAAATTTTAGGCATAAAACTATAACTAAATAGAAAAAGAATCGTGTGTCGGTAGGACTCCATCAGGCTAAAGTGATGTTTACGTTGACGCGACTATACATGCGTACAAAGGAAAGCTGAAATTGGGAATTTAGAATTTTATTTTTTGGTTGTTGTGGGGGATATATTCTAGCCGATTTAATTTTGTTTATTTTTCTTTTACTTTTGTTCATATTTTCATCACTTTTGCTATTAAATATCCAACATTTTGATAATAGAATATCTGCCAAGAAGGGTGAAATGTTATAAATGTTATCTGGACTTAAATTTACTGTTGCAAATATACAGATTAAAACCCTTTCTACACATTTTCATCCTAGTAAATTGGGTTCTCTTTTAATTAGAGTGGAATTTTTTAAATCAAAATTATGGTCAGGCACGTTACGGCGAGCAATCAATGCTTCTAATGTGTTGTTTTGTAAAATAACCTTTTTATGTTCATACAATCCTTTTATTTAAATTCCTTGAGGTTTCTATTATGTATACCTTCTGGCATTTATTACAGGTAATAATTTCCTCCTTCATTATTTAGCTTATTATTTTGTATGACATTAAATCCTTTACTGCTTTAAAAGTAGTTGTATCAATTTTTGTTTGACGTAATTTCCCATTTTTGTTGTTGCAATTAGTCAATCAGTAAGTTAACTTTATAAGCTCTAATTTTAAAAGAAAATAACAAAAAATACATTTAAATTCGTAGTAATAAGGAATGCCGAAATCTAGTAAAAGCTTTAATATTTAATTAGCAATACACTTTATCAACATATATTGCCCGATTTTAATATAACTTTACTTTTTGTTTTGTTTTGTCAGTCATCATTGGTTCCTGGTCGGGTGGGTAAAAGTCTCCCTTTGATGTTGATGGGAATTACATGCTTCGTGTCTGGGATTTTACTTATCTTTCTACCTGAAACAACTAACAAACCGATGCAAGATACTCTTGACGAGTTGACAAAAAGCAAGCATACAAATAACAGGTAAGAAGATCTTTTTTATTCCCCTTCTGGTAAGAAACATGAACTCATAACTGTAGTCAGATGCTTTCTAATGTTTCCCTTGATGAAGTAGCAAAACTTTCGATACACTTGGATTTCAAGACGTACATTTCCTCATATTTAATGATTATAATTACATTGATAGCTGAGATAGATAGATAGATAGATAGATAGATAGATAGATAGATAGATAGATAGATAGATAGATAGATGTCACTATTTCGAGTATTACTAATGCATGTCCCCTCTTCAAAAAGATGAATGCGGATGTTGGATTTTAGCCTTGCTGGGGTCTTGCGTTCTCTTGCACAGGTCTGGCAACGTCGGGTGTCATTTTCAGTAATTGTTACATCAATGCTGCATCACGTACAATGAAATACCTATTTATTTGATAAATTTTAGTCCTTCCGCATTTAAACAAACACAAACGCAATCATTACAATTAGATTAAATTCTGTGGCAACATTTCCATGGAAAATCTTCCGGCTATACCAGATCGATAGCTCTGCTAGTAATAGAGGTATCTTTGTCATTGCTTGTAATGGGCGCAAGTTTATCCTTAAAGTGATGTCACTGTTGCTGAAAGAATAATTTGGATTGTAGAGATTACTGGCAGCTCTACATGAGTACGCTGAACAATAGCAAATCCTCGGCCCCTTCTCTCTTCAATCATTTCGAAGTATTGACCCCTGCTGCAGATAAGGTAGACCTTCCTACGAGAACGGAGGCTCTATTGAGTGATATGCGCCTAATGCTGTCATTGGTGTCAAGTATAATTTCCAAATTAGATCCGCGTAAGCGAATGTGACGTTATCCCTACCGTCGCCCTAAATAAATGTACTCCCGAGCTGCCTCCTCTTCTCTCAAATTACATCGCTGCTTCTTGTTTCTAACCTATTGAATGTCCTCATCTCTAGTTCCTGATTTTAACCGGAGGGTCTATCTGAACCCTCGAATTATCGCCTTATTAGTAGCTTAATTCTTTTCGGTATCGTACTCAATGCACTAATCAATAACGAATTGGTTATGTATCTTACTTCTTACAACATCCTTTCGGATAATCAATATGGATTCCGATTCACCCAGTCTGCCAGCGACATTCTAACGGCCATCACTTAATTTGTCACTAGCTAGAAAGCGTTCGACAGATTTTGGCATGCTGCCTTGAGTAGAAACTCAAGTTCAAATTTGGCTTCATCGTTTCTACCAAATCGTGTAATGAAGGTCGTACTGAACGAGCTTGCTTCTAGATCTTTTCAAACTAACGTGGAGATGTCCCAGGGTTCAGTCCTTGAAACTAGGTTGTTTCTTATCTCCACTGATGAACTCCCCACTGTCTTCAGTTCCAAAGTGTTATTTATGCAGATTTACTACTATTGCAGTAGCAAATTTGACAGCTTTGAGATTTCATATGCAACATGATTCTATTCAGTTCCTCTTAAAAATGTTCCAGGATGAATGTTGGCCTTCTACTGTGTGTGATAGATAGATAGATAGATAGATAGATAGATAGATAGATAGATAGATAGATAGATAGATAGATAGATCAAACCGAATAGACTGTTCCGTTCGCCATATCGTAAACATAATTATTACTGAATTATTCGAAATCAATTACATACAACTTTTCGATCATTCGCTCATTTTCTATTTTCATCTTTGAAATTCCTTCTTCTTTCTTCTACTTGCTTTTCTTCTAAATCATTCAAATTCTTTCTTACCTCCTCTTTTTCTTTTTCCTTCTTTTTTTTTACATTTTATCAAATTGTTTCACTTTGTGCTTTTCTTTTGTCTCACTCTCGCCTTCCGTTGTCATCACTCTTATAACTTATCTTTGAAATTTATGAAGCAATTTTATTACATTTTATACAATTATTAACACTTTTTAACAACTTCGTTAAATATATTTCTTTTATTTTAGTGCATGTAAAGAAGGCGAAATGGACGAAACAGTCGAACTCAATGCGGTCGCATGAAAAATTTACAAAATAAATAAATAAGCAGTCTTTTTAAACATTTAAAACGTAGGGATGTTAGATATTCCTTTTCATTTTCAAAATCCTTCCACAATTTATAAAAAAACTGTATATACACCTCGTGTTATTTGTAATAATCAGTCTTTTTAGATAATAAATAATGAAAAAATAACATTAAATTGTTTTATTGATTAACAACCACCTCCTACTCTTGTACGTTACTTTGCCACTCATCAAAAATTGCAACATCACACAAATCTCAATGACAACATAAATATTACTAGATAACGGGATGATAATACGTCATACTCTCTGTAAAGAATGAAAATAAATTGAAGCTGCTTTTATTCAACAAAACAGTTCAGATTAAACACAATGTAGCAGAAGATACCATTTTCGCCACTTTGGACTTGCGTAAAAATGATGGGTGTAGGCGTAGCAAAATCTTCAGGGAATTAACCCTTTTTCGGACAACATCACGGATGAGATAAGCCGCGATATAGCTCGCTCCGAGAACACAACCCATTGTCTAGACATTACATTCACTCATTAACAAAGTAAGTACAATTGTTTATTTCTTCTTAAAGGGAATACAATAAAGACATTCCTTAAATTTATACGCACTTTCAGGAATTATCCTTGAACACTCCTTATACTAAAAGTTGGTGATAGGATAACAATATATATCTCATTTTGTTTAATCTTTTTTTTTTTTTTGACGATATTTTTTCAAACCAAACCAGTACAAATAAAGATTTATTCATCAGTACGCAAGCTCAAAGTCTACCAAAAACAGCAACAGTGTATGTTACCGTATAGGAATGCATTTTAAAATATGTGTAAAAATTTGAATGATCTTCGTCCTTAGGGGCTCTAAAATTTGTGATCCATAAATATAACCTATAATAATTACATACAGTTTAAACATTTTCTGCACTAAACGACATTGTATTCGTTACACGTATATGTAAAGTATAATTATAGCGTTACTAAAACTTTAGTGGATGAATTCAATAAAAAAAAACATCTCGAATCTAGAGAATAACATTAACGCTCCTGTTAACGACGATCGAACGTATTCCAATTAAATATCATGAATTTTGGACAGTTCCTTCATAAATTTTATCCGAAAATCCAAAAATCAGAAAAACATAATACAAAATAACCAGATAAACCTCTTCGTTTGATCTAAATTAAACCTTTCTGAATGAATTCCTGTTGTCTAAGTATAGTCTCTCATTTTAAATTCACCTTTATTCTATATTTTATTGATTAAGCTCATGGATAAATACTGTCTCGTTCGGCATTTTGGTGGGCAACAAATCAAGATGTGCGCGATCATGGCTCTCCACAAATTCCTATCCACTGTTGCTCAGGTTTGTCTTTTTGCTATCGCTTCTAATCCCTATGCTGCCAAAAATTTAGACAAGCTCATTAGGTGGGTTATTCGTTGCGTTTCTACCCCCGCCCACTTGCCTTCAATATTTGCTTTCCGTATTATGACTGCTAGAAATTTCAACTGTCTCTAAATGATTCTAAGTGTCGTTTTTCCTTCCATTTTTTTTCTTAAAACTTTGTCGTTATTCACATATTCTCTACATTAGATTCTAAGTATCCTTCTGTTTCTGTTGCCTCAAATCTCTTATTCATCTGTGAACAGATTGTCCAGCAGTCACTTCCATGTCACTAATGTTCCAAAAAAATAGTCGTGAAATTTGAGTGGTTTCTCCGTTAACATTAAACTGGGTGTGATAGTTTATACGCAAAATGGAAACATGTAATAAAACATGCATATCCTCTCGCACAGTAAAACATTTTAATAATTTTTTGCAGCCTAAGTACATATTATACATACATATACGCATATATATATATATATATATATATATATATATATATATATATATATATATATAGTAGGTACCTCCACAAAAACTCTAGAAAATCAGCATACCGTGATGAAAACATGCTCCAAACGTAATGAAAATAGATTTATCATAAAAATCATTGTTATTATTAGGAGGAAGGGTCAAAGTATTTTTTATCATTCAATTAATGTTTTACTTCTTTTTAGAATATTCGAAAGTTTGATTAAAAAACTTGTTTTTCTTGCGTCAGTGGTTATAGTAACTTTTAGCATAGCAAATTTCCGCCTCTTTTTTGCGATGACCGACACATAAATTTGGAAACACTTAATAAATTTAAATAATTGTGGCGTTTTCACCCACTTCACAGCATTATCTTATTCCTACACTATATCTATCATAAGGTTTCTTTTGATATATATATATATATATATATATATATATATATAATATTCTACACCACCCATAAACCCGTCGGGTTACTTTTAAAAGAAATTCATGATACATATTATCAATTTTATTATTATCTGTACATATGTTAGTTTCTATTTGCTATACATGTTATTTTAATACTTATTATTAGTCACTTTAGATCAAACACAATAATAAATTATTAAATGGAAAATTTTACAGAATTTGCGAAAAAATATAGTCCCTGATACATAGAACAACAGAAAAAAAACTTTCAACATTTTAAAAATATTGATACGATATCATTGACACCACTAAATCGGATTCTTTCTCTTTTTTTTCTGCAATGAAAACAAAATATCGACATCCCCTGTTTAAAATATTTGCCAAAACTCAGGGAATTATCCGTGGCAAACAAAATTTTCAGGTCTTTTAGGAATTAAAATTTTACTGAATAGGTTATTTTATTAAAGCATTTTAGGGAAATATTTTGCGGGAATATTTATCACGTGTAATTTTGTTTTCATTTAAGCGGGTGCTCGTCAATTTTTTTTTTTTTTACAGTTATATACAAAGAAATTATTACAGTAAAAACATTATGGCATATCGAGTGTAAACATACGAAAAATTCTTCGCGCATCTTACTAAAATCAATTCAGTAAAACTGAAAAAAATAACGTTTTTGACAATTGGCGATTGCATAATTTAATAAAATACATAATTTTCTTTCAAATTCGGCAGAAAACAGATCTAAACCTAATATTCTTTTTTAATTACATGTAATTTTTCAGTGGAGCTTTGAAATTAATCTCTTCACTGTTCGTCACAAGAGTTTACTTACTTAATAAAGGTATGAAGATTTAAAAAGTGTCAAGTTTAAAGTTATTTTTGTGAGTGAAACGTTTTTAAAAAAAGTTATTTTTCCTTTTTGCAACTATTAGATTAGTTTGGGTATAGATGTACAAAAAGGAAATAATTCTGATATCTCGCTTTGACTGCATACTATTCAAAATTGCAGTTGTATTAAGGTATTACTCTAATTTTATAATTCCCGTTCAGTCAGTATAAAAAATAAAATTATTCATTATACTAACTTTATTATGAGCGTATTAAAAAATTACTGATAGACATCGAAATATATCTCTTGGAGAAATATTGGATTCCTAAGAGAATTTAAAATTTGTTTTTTACATTTTCGTATACAATGTCGGCTCTATGAAAGTACTAAAAAGCTTTAAAAATGACTGAAAAGTTGATTTGTACACGGAAATTGATTTATTTTTCATATGAATTAGCTTTAGACTATTATTTTTCAAATACAAACGAAATTTAAGTTCAGAGAAGCCCTTTAAAATGCTTTTTGCGGGTTTGTTTCGAAAGTCTATGGTGATACCTTACATAAATTTAATAGTTTTAACAATTCACTAATAACGCTTAATTTGTCAGAAGGGGGAGACATTCCCCTTTAAACATAAGAAAAGGTGTAGTTTTAGAACAGAATTTCAAACTGATATCACACTTTCCATTCAAGTAATAGTAGCCGTGTGGTGACAATTTGTTCCTATTTTAGTATGTGCAACCTTAATTTTCAAAGGTGACGGTCCTTCCAAAAGATAAACAAGAAGACAGACAGTAAACGTCTGCCTAGGGAGATTGATATTTGTTGAAATAACATAATGTATCGATGCCTCTTTTATGTGCACTTAATTTCATAAACATCACTCTCAACAAAGCGTCTGCCTGCGCAATGGTATTGCCTTTCACGTACCCAAAATCATAGTCAAACGCCATTACCATTAAGGTCCATCTTAATTCTAGAAGACGTTACCTTAGGAAGTTCCTTCCTAGATTTGAAAATGAATTCTTAAGGACTTAGTAGGAATTTCTTTCCAATCAAAAACTTGCCCATATTATGGCCAACGTTTCTTTCTCAATATTTGAGTAGTTCAATTCTGCTTTGACAATTTTCTCGAAAGATACATAATGTTATGACCATCTTGGCTAATATTCTCTAGATTGAGTGTTCGCTCGGGTCATTTGGTACTACTCTTTCCTTTCTACAGTCGAATTTTTTACGTTTGGCGTCTTTGTCAGAACAGCTTTAAAATTTTCAAATGCCACTTGTTCTTTTGTCCAAATAAATTCCACATTCTTCTAATTAAAGCAGTAAAAGGTTCTGTCAAATCAAAGTATTGTTCTACATATCGTCTGTAGAAATTTTCATGTCCTAAGAAAGATTCCAATTCTTTTTTGTTCGTAGGTAATTCAACTTTTAATATTTTTGTCAATTAACGATTGGTCTGGTGATATGCCTTCCTTATCTATGAAATATCCCAAAAATGATTCTTTTAGTGGCATGCACACGTTTTCTTTCGTTATTACTCCAGCATCTTTTAACTTATTCAAAAGCATACTAGTTTTCCATTTTAATTCTTCATCGTTAATAGCACCAACACAAATACCATCCTGGAAGGATATTGTATTTTTTATATCATTAACAATAACTTGCCCTATAGCCCTTTGAAAATTAGCACTTGCAGTTTTAATTCCACACGGCATTCTTTTCCATCATAATAAGCCTATTGTCGTGTTTATTGTTACTACTGCTTTAAAGTCTTCGTCAATTTATATTTGATGATATGCCGACTTTAGATCAATTTTAGAGAATGTTTTCAAACCCGAAAGTTCAATACTCATTCCACATTAGAGATAGGATATGAGTCTGCACATATTTTGTGGTTTACACCTAATTTGTAGCCACGACATATGCGCAGATGCGCATCCTTCTTTCTTAAAATTACTAACATGGAGGCCCATTTGCTCCCTCCTGGTGGAACTCGTTCCAGAGGATATTGTTACTGTATTTTTTTTAGTTTTTCTACAACTATTGGTAGTAAATGCACTGGTACTTTTCATGTCTTCAAATATGAGGTGGGGGGACATATCCCTTTAGTCTTAAATTCGTTTCATAGTTTCTTTTTTTACATTGCAGTTTCTTCTGCCTTGTCTTTGTTGACTAATTTTATCGAATTTATGTTCAATTTCCTATTAGATTGCGATTCTTTTCACAGTTTGCTACAATAATTGGTAATACGTCAATTTTATTTTTTACTTCCACGTAGGCTTCAAGATAGCCTAACGTTTTTATCACGGATCCGTGAAACTGATTCCAATGAAGATGACTTTTCACTTTTAATCTTGTTTTTTTTTCTAATTTCTTCCAGAAATGTGTGTCTATTAACGCCACACCACTTCCCAGATTTAGTTGCATGTCTAATAACACATTATCGATTCTGGATTTTAATAACCGTTTTTCTTTTCTTTTTCTTTTTTTCAATGAAAAGACGTCTATACTTATTTCCTCTTCATTTTGTTGGACTGTCTCTACTTTTTTTTCTTTTTGGATTTACACATATCTTTAAAATGATTCATTTTGAAACACTTTTCACATTTCTTTTATATGTCGGACATTTTTGTATTTTTTCTTTTTTGTTGATATCCACAGTAACTACACATTATTCTATCTTTTTCATTATCGCGTATGTATTCATTTTTTCTAACAGATCCGTCATTTTTGTTCTATTTTAATTTTCTAATTAATTCTTGTTGCTAAACAAATTCAATACACTGTTCTAATGACAACTTTCTCAGTTGTAAATGCATTAGAGTCATTTGAAAATAGTCCTCATTCTGAAAGCCGTTTACCAATTTAATTTAGATCCAATCCTTTTCGATCCCAATTTTCCAAATTCTCAATATTTAGCGGCCTGTTTTAAACGCTGAAAATATTCGATAACTGGTTCATTCACTTTTTGAAAAATATTCATAAAATTAGATCTCTGCATTTACTTTTTTTGTTTTTTTGTTGGTTTTTTTTTTGTTTGTTTTTGTTTTGTTTTTTTCACTATTACTTGATGTCTCGGATGTGCAATTACTTATAATGGTCTCACAATCAGCAGTTACCAACAATAGGTCCGTTATTTGTTTTTCTCCCCTAATTGATTTTGGATCCTTTAGATTTTTTCGTTCTAAATTTAGTTGCTAGTATTCTAAGCCACGCTTATGCATATTCATAATTATCAAGTGATAATTATTCGCTC